CATGCTGACTATGGCTCAGAGAAGGCTTTTTCATCCTTGAGTATCAATCCCAGAGAAGGACCAAGTTCCTCATATGGGGGTAGCTCAAAATTCAAGAATAATTGGAAGAACAAAGGCAAGAAAATGGATGTAAAATCTGCAAATGTCCCAAAGAAGGAGAATCAAGGTGAAGGAACAAAGATTTCCTGTGTTCACTGCAACAAACTACATTATGGAACCTGTTGGTTTAAGGGAAAACCCAAGTGCCATAAATGTGACAGATTTGGTCACTTGGCAAAGGACTGCAGAAGCAAAATTGTACCTGCAGCAAATTATGCAAATGAAGTAGAGGAAGAGGGAACTATGTTTTATGCTTGTCACTCAGCCTCTGTGGTGAAAAATTCTAGTGTATGGTATGTGGATAGTGCATGTAGCAATCATATGACTGGCCATGAATCCCTCTTGATTGAAGTGAACAGAAATGTGACAGCCAAAGTTAAGATGGGTACTGGTGACTTAGTTCAATCTGTTGGAAAGGGAACATTGGTCATTGACACCATACACGGAAAAAGATACATAAAGGAGGTCATGCTAGTGCCAGGACTAGATGAAAACCTCTTAAGTGTAGGCCAAATGGTTGAACATGGGTACTTCTTGGTATTTGGGGATTATCTAGTTGATATCTTTGAAGACAAAACCCTTGAGAACCTCTTGGCAAGGGTGCAAATGACCAGCAATAGGTGTTTCCCTATGACACTTGAATATGGAAATGAAGTAGCTAGAAGAGCAACTGTTGAAGAGTCCACCTGGAACTGGCATAGGAGATATGGGCATCTGAATTTCCAAAGTCTAAAAGCTCTACAACAAAAAGAAATGGTTTATGGGCTACCTGAGATAAAAGATACATCCAAAGTTTGTGAAGGGTGTGCTATGGGTAAAGCTCACAGAGAGGTATTTGACAAGGAGAAAGCATGGAGAGCCACTGTACCTCTAGAATTGATCCATACTGATGTATGTGGACCAATGCAAGTCTCTACCATAGGAGGTAACAAATACTTCCTAACCTTTATTGACGATTACACCAGGATGTGCTGGGTATACCTGATGAATCTGAAATCTGAAGTTTTCAATATCTTCAAGAAGTTTAAGGCCATGGTAGAACTACAAAGTGGATTCAAAATCAAGAAGTTGAGGAGTGATAGAGGGGGAGAATACACCTCCACTGAGTTTTTGAAATTTTGTGAAGATGTTGGTTTGGAAAGACAACTCACAATTGCCTATTCCCCTCAGCAAAATGGAGTGGCTGAGAGGAAGAATAGGACAATTGTTGAGATGGCAAAGGCTATGATACATGAGAAGCATTTACCATATAATTTCTGGGGTGAAGCAGTAACAACTGCAGTCTACATTCTTAATCGATGTCCTACCAGATCACTTCATGAAGTAACACCTTTTGAAGCCTTTAGTGGCAGGAAGCCAGGAGTCAAGCACTTGAGAGTCTTTGGTTCTATATGCTACTATCACGTGCCTAGTCAACTGAGGCACAAATTGGAGGAATCTGCAACGAAGGGAATCTTCATTGGGTATGGAAAATGTGAGAAGGGGTATAGAGTGTATGACCTGCATTCCAAGAAAGTAATATTGTCTAGGAGTGTCATTTTTGATGAGAACTTAGCTTGGAATTGGGAAACACAAAGGGAAATGCCTATTTCAGTTCCACTGAATGTTGAGATCAATGATAGAATCACTGAGCAAGTGGAATCAGCACCTACTTCAGATCAAATACAAAGTGAGGACACTACTGGAACACAAGATTCAAGCGTAAGGGTCCAGAATTCAGCAACTCCTACCTCTACACCGGTTAGGCTAAGAAGCTTAACTGATATCTATGCAAGGTGCAACATGTGTATCATAGAACCAGAAAATTATCAAGAAGCTGCAAAAGACAAAGCATGGCAGGCAGCTATGGATAATGAGATCTCCATGATAGAAAAGAATGAAACTTGGGAGTTGGTGGACAGATCTACATCCAAGCCGGTCATTGGAGTTAAATGGGTATATAAGATCAAACTCAATCTTGATGGTTCTATACAAAAACATAAGGCAAGACTAGTTGCTAAGGGATATTCTCAAAAGCCCGGAGTGGATTTCAATGAGACCTTCGCTCCGGTAGCAAGGATGGATACTATTAGGACACTAATAGCTCTTGCAGCCCAGAAAGGTTGGAGATTGTTCCAACTTGATGTCAAATCTGCCTTCTTAAATGGAACTCTACATGAAGAGGTCTATGTAGACCAACCTGAAGGTTTTGTAATTCAGAATGCAGAAGAAAAGGTTTATAAGTTAAGGAAGGCATTATATGGCCTGAAACAAGCACCAAGGGCCTGGTACGAAGAAATTGATGCATATCTCATCTTAAGTGGATTTGAGAGGAGCCCCAGTGAACCTACACTTTATGTTAAGGTAAGAAATGGTACTGAAACTATAATCATCTCAATCTATGTGGATGATATAGTTTACACTGGCAGCAGTGAAGAATTGATGTCAGAATTCAAGTTTGATATGATGAACAGGTATGAAATGACAGACTTGGGACTGCTGCACCATTTTCTTGGCATGGGGATTCTGCAAAGTGAAAAAGGGATCTTCATTGGGCAAAAGAAATATGCTCTATCTCTGCTAGACAAGTTTGGTTTGCAGAACTGTAAACCAGTGAGCACACCACTAGCTACAAATGAAAAACTTTGCAGGAACGATGGAAGTGAATCCACTGATGAAGGAGTTTACAGGCAGATTGTGGGCAGCTTGCTATATCTAACTGCCACTAGGCCTGACATTATGTTTGCTGCATCACTGTTGGCAAGATTTATGCACTCTCCCTCCAAGAAACATCTTGGAACTGCCAAAAGAGTCCTAAGATATATACAAGGGACCATTGATTTTGGAATTGAGTTTGAGAAGGGAAAGAAAGCTGTACTTATAGGATATTGTGATAGTGACTGGAGTGGGTGTGAGGATGACATGAAGAGCACTTCCGGATATGCATTCACATTTGGAAGTGGAGTGTTTTCTTGGGCCTCTGTGAAGCAACACAGTGTTGCTCTCTCAACTGCAGAAGCCGAATACGTCAGTGCAGCTGAAGCAACAACTCAAGCCATTTGGCTAAGATTTGTGTTAGAAGATTTTGGGGAAATGCAGGCAGAAGCTACTCCACTTATGTGTGACAACACATCAGCTATAGCCATGACTAAAAATCCAGTCTTCCATCAAAAATCGAAGCACATAAATAGAAGGTACCATTTTATCAGAGAAGCACTGCAGCAAAATGTGATTGACATCATGTACTGCAAGAGTGAAGACCAGCTTGCGGATATTTTCACTAAGGCTCTTCCTAAAGCTCGTTTTTGTTTTCTCAGAGATCTCCTTGGTGTGAAATCAGTTAACAACTTAAGAGGGAATGTTGATAGTTAAGTTGTTTTCAGATTTCCTTAATTGTCTTTGTATTGTCTTATATGACAAGTTTAGGTTCTGGATCCATTAAGGCCTCATATGTCCTTGTAATAGCCATGTGTCATCATCATATTGATGACCTACTATGTACGGCTAAGATTGGATCTATGTGATAAAAGAATGAAAAGGAATGTTGGTTTTATTCTTTGTAAAGAAACAGAGCAGCTGTATTATTCCATCAGTAAAAAGAAAATTGCAGAAAGCTTTTCTTTTTCCCAGTGAGTTCAGTTTTCTTCCTTCTTCTTCATACTTCAAACCTAAACCCAGAAATTAAACACTCCATCCATAAACTTCAACAGGGACTGCTCTTGCGAATCCATCTTTTCATACTTCCCACAAACACTCGAGGGATCAGTAGTTCATTAGAGCTCGTTTTGTACACTCCCCACAAACACTCAGGTTCGCATATTCTGATCCTCTCTCTCTCTCTCTCTCTCTCTCTCCCCGTTTCGCTTTGTGGTTTCACTCTAATCCATGGCTACTCAAGGTCAAGTCATCACTTGCAAAGCTACTCTCTCTCTCTCTCTCTCTCTCCCCTCTCCAGATTTCTATATGTATATATGTGTATGTATCTTTTTGTATATGTTTTTGACATCTTCTTTGGAGATGCTCTAAGCTGTCAAAAGGATTCCTCGTTTTTTAAAGGTACTATTTCTCAAGGTATTTGGTTTAGAAGGGTTCTCTCCATCGATCTGCTTACTCTGATGCAGACTGGGCAGGCTGCCCTTTTGACAGACATTCCACTATGGTTATTGTGTTTTTTTTGGTGCCGAATATTATTAGTTGAAGTGTTAAAAAGCAATCCACTGTTGCTAGATCATGCTGAGTATAGATTTTGGCTCATACAACAGCACAGATTATATGGATATTCAAAGTATTTCATGATATTGGCTTTTCTTTGCCAAGAGTTCCTACCTTTTGTTGTGACAATATTTCTGCCATATCACCAGCTTCGAACCCTGTTTTTCATGCAAGGAGTAAACGTGTGGAAATTAATCATCATTATATTCGAGAATTGTTCTTGCTCAGCTCGTACAAGTCAAATATGTGTGCAGTTATCACAATCGGTTAGGCGATATTCAGACTAAAGCTCTGTCCAAATCTCGATTTATGTTTCTCCAGTCCAAACTTCCACTTGGTTCTCTTGATTCTTTCAAGTTCAGCTTGAAGGGGTGTGAAGAGACAGACCCTAGAAGCTAAATCATCAAGTCCAGCACAACAAATTAAGTCTAGTCATTAAGAATCTGAGATTGTTATAATAGTTTGTACTTGTAATTGTTACTAGTAAAGTTACTTTACAGTTAGGAAATCTATATATGACGCAGGGAGAACCTAAGGGACTCGAAGAGACGGGTAGATAACCTGGGAATTACCCAACTAGGGGCAACAAAATTACTCACGTCGGTGGATTAACTCACATGACCAAGCCAAATGCTTAATTTTAGAAGGAGGAAACACTCACTTCAATTGCACAAAGCAAATATATTTTCAATTCAATCAAGTCTGCCCAAATGCTTGTATTACATCCCAATTTAAAGGAAATAATGATAAGCAAAGCATAAAGTTACAACTTCCTGAAAGACTCGTCATAATCTAAATGGACTTAACAAATGTCTCATATGGTGTAATCATTATTCAATCAATCAGAATAATAGTTTTTCCCGACACTTCATTTCCTTTCTTTGGCTTTGCCTGGCTCAGAGGTTGGTAAAGAGAGATTTACAGCCGGAATCTCACCTACCTTGCCTGCATTCCCGGCAGGTCCTTGGGGCTGAGAAGTCCCCGTGATCGCTGGAATGACATCGGTAGAGATTGGAACGGGATAGGGCATTTGTCCCCCCTTACGACCCTTTTTTCTCCTTTTGCTGGGTACAGCAGCACTTGCTTCAGTTACTGCATAAGCCCTCTTAGGAGCTTTATCAGAGTGCTCCAACCCGAGGTACTGCTCCCATGGAGGCAACGATTTGCTTCTCTGAGGAAAACAAAATTCAAATGTTAGAATCTAAAAAAAAAATTCACCTACAAAAGACATAATATCGCACCGGAAGCTATAAAGAGATGAAACTAAGGAACGTAGATATATCCTATCTAGAAGGACCTAGAAACTCAAGGAGAAGAGAAAACAAAGATACGAAAACTCTCTGAATTTGTAGCCGAAAATATGATGATCTGAATTCAAGGCTGCAAAGTAGACGGCTCTAACTTCAGGGGCTGAATTGGCTAATTTTCAAAAGTTTACCAAAAAAATAGTTTTTTTGGGGGGGGGGGTGGCGCGGCCAATTTCAGCTAGTGTTCTTGTTCAGAGGGTAAAGCGACAGTTTATTAAAATGAAATATGTAAATACTAGTTGATCGACTAGATGCATCGATTGAGTGAATGTATGCATGAATAGTGGATACATTTTCATTATTATGTACTAATCACATAAAATTTGAAAGAAAGGGGACATCAGACATCAATAGCAATAGATCATAGACACCTGAAATCGGCTGAAAACAATGTCAGAATCCTGCAAGTACTCTGGATGACCACGTGACAAAAATGCAAAGTTCCACTGCACAACAAAAGCGGAAATAGATGAGGAAGCAAAATAAAGAACCAATAATAATAGCGACAGAACACTCTTTTCCTCTAGTGACCCCCTTCCAATGAAAATAAGGTATGGCTCTAGTACCTTTGAGAACTCCTCATCGGGAACCCGCAATTTCTTTTGTATCCGTGTTTTAACTTCAGCTAGACATTCACCTTCATGGATGACCAAGACAAAAGGTTCCCCAAAAGTTTGTACATGCTGTAAAATGTTCAAACAATAAGTTCGATTCTAAAAATCACAAAGTATCTGGGTAAAACCTTCTTTGACTGAAAGTCTAAAACAGCAATGAAATAGTTTGCTTCTACCATGTCTTTCAGTACAGTGACTTTTGTGAAGTGGTAAACATGAATCAAGCGATCACGTTGACCCAAGTTTTTCTCTTCTTCTGGAATCTGATGACAAGAAAAAAGAACATTCAGCTGAGACAAAGAACATTGGCACAAAATATCAATCCAACTCAGTCCTATGCTGTCGTAGGGATGCTGTTTTGGAAAAGGGAAAAGAAACTAAATTACGAATCTTGCCCATAAAACTATATCCGTAGTCTACATATTTTGAACTGAAAAATAAAAATAGAAACTTCTCAAAATAAAACTAAATAAGGAAAAGGGGGCAAAAGGAACTTGCCTCCTCTACACGCAAAGTCCGGTACTGTTTATGAATATTCCTAATTTTTTCAGAGTGCAGAAAGATCTGCAATAGAACACGACGAATCATGAGTGATTAAATCACATAAATTAAATAGAAGGAAGAAAATTTCTGATGCAATAAGATCCATAATGAAAACATGCAAATATATACGATACATTATCAGCTGAACAAATGGGGCAACCTACAATCACTTATGACCAGAAAAAATACCTCAAATGCTGATAAAGAAGGCATACAAGTAGTATTACCTTGTAGATCTTGTGATATAAAATGCCAAGCACTCGGAGTTCTACATTTGGATGAGACAGCTCTACCTGTTTCAGGTACACCGTACAGTGAGAAAATTCCATTATAGGCAATTGTGGTGGTGATATATTTTTATTAAGCATCTACCAATTTTGTCAAAGTTATGAACATCACTGCAAGTTGAGTGAAATCCAGTATAAGCAACTTTTAAGGGATAGAAAGTACAAAAACCAATAGGAGGGAGGGAAGGGAATAGTTTTAATTAAAGGCCGCATAACTTTTATAAGCTTTGCATCATTGATAAATTAATGTATAATAGCATCACTAGCTTTTGCATACAAAAAGAGAGAAGAAAAATAAAAAACACACATAGGACACTATACGATTGCCAGAAATATTTAGATGAGAAGTGATGGCTAGTAAATTAAAACATATGGAATGCATAGAACAGGGAAACCTTACCTTCGTTTTAAGTACATTAATCAAATACCCAACAGTTTTCCGTTTGGGAAAGCTAATAGTGTGAATCACCACCTATACATAAATTATACAAGATTAGGATGTGCACAATGATGTAATCACCGTCCATAAGCAGATGTTGCGATATATTTCACGGACCTCGTCTTTTGTAGCATGATGAAAGGCAATTTTTAGAGTTTTCAGGCCTTCCAACTCTGGCAGGGGAATGCCCAAGACTTCATAGTACAAAATATCAGAGCTCTATAGAAAAGCATAATTAGTAGCCACACCACATGATGCTTATGAGAGAGAGAGAGAGTAAAACAACAGAGGAAGCTCAATACGATGCCACTCACTTGATTGTAATGAGTTAACATTTCTGTTAAATGCTCTGCTCCCTGATATTTGATAGGTTGGGGCCTAGGTTGTTGAGATAAGCAGTTATGTGCAGTGAGTCTGATTTTGGTGGGATTTTCCAAACCAATTTGGCGAGCCAAATTCTCCACAACATCATCGTAAGTGTGAAGCTTTGACCTAAAAAACAAGAGAAAAAAGTTAAAGCACTGAAATAAAACAATGATGGACAGTCCAAGTCCAACTGTGAGGGACAATTATTGACCGGGAATAAAATTAAACCATGACGGACAAGGGTTCAGGAAGTACTTACAATTCTAAACTGAAATCATCCTCATTCGGTTTCTCCAGCAAACGGAAACGAACAATCTGTAAAGCCTCAAATCATTCAACATGGGTAGGTATAAAATTCAACAAAATACAGCTACAAAAAAAACACTAAAAGCAAAGTAAAAGGAGGTGCAAAAGCAATCCACCGTTTAAGTCTGCTTATCGTATAACAACATCTAATTTAAACTACAAATAAAGTAAAAGTTTCCGCAGCCAGTACCTGACGATAATGTAGGTATCTGAAAAATGAAGGAATGTTAGGATATTTACATACTTCACTTCCATGAGGAGTAGATTTCTGAAAGCATATAATATCCCCATCTTGAATCTGGAAAAGGAAAGCAATAGACAGTTAACCAGAAATATACCTATAAAAGCATCAAAACGTTAATTTCCATAGCAGACACAAATTAAGAATATACCAAGCATGCAATATAGTGATAGCTACCTGACTGAATCGAAATGGGATCTTCTTGTCAAGCTGCTCCCACATGATACAAGGCTCAGACCTTAATTCCTAAATGTAGCACAAAAACATATTATAGAATTTGGTTAAGATGCTATAGCAAAGCATGCATCAAATTATTAACACAATTGATGCGACAAATAATGTGACAGACACCGGATAGAGTTCAATTTCTTCATCAGGGGAAAAACCAGCAAGCTGATTCAATTTTGCTAAAATCTCTTCTGGCCTGCTACAACTCTTCACGAAAAGCCGACCAACAAAACTGGAAACAGAAAAGAAACTTAAATAAGCAAACATAAGTCAAAAGCAAAAAATGTTCAGCTAAGCAGAAAAAGCTGGCCTACCGTAGTTCTCGTTTCTCAGGTTCATAAAGCTTAAAGAAAACAAGGATATCTTTCTTGGTTTTGGCAGGCGGAGCAATAAGACACAGATCCTGGAGCATTAATGAGAGAAACAAATGTAAGAAAAGATATCTTTCAACCAGCAATTGGAACTGCAATAACCCTCACACCATAGGTCATAACAAGAATAGAGTAACACTGGATTACCGGCCCAAACTCTACTTCCAAAAACAACTTTAGCTCTCCATTGTGTATTGTATTTGATCCATCTCTCAATCGTCCAACCTGGAAAACGCAAGTGGCCATCATTAGATTGCACAAGGCACCAGACCAAGCTCTTCTGGGCATCGATGTGCAGCTAAAAACACTATCAATCATTTCAAAATCTGAGATCAAATGTTTATCACTGACCAACAGACTTTTTTATATACTACAATAAGTTAATAACTTCATTTAAAATGCCTCAACCAGTACTAAGAACCTAATGATTATCCAAATTCCAACAAATCTATGCATTAAGCAGTTTTCAAATTCCAATTTCACAAAAGAAATTGACATTTCTAATCACCCATCATAAAATCATGAACTTAAAACTTCAGTGTCAGATGCAACTAAGTAAATTTGGACACAATCAGAAATATGGATTACGCAAAGAACCAGCTATAAACCCAGAGATACAGCACATGTGCAAGGAGCAGTGTCTCAAAGTTTATGCTTGAAAACCCTTTCAAAGGTAGGAAGTGTGAAGTCATACTGCTTGTGATTCTTCACAACTTGTCAATGGTCGTTTGGGGCGATATGTATGGTTTTTTCTCATGGACCAAATCCAGAAACGCTGAAACTGCACTGGTATGCCAAACTCATTTGCAACCTCCTTCTGTTAACCATTTCCGAATTAGGAATTCTCATAATTAATAAAATTGAATTCAGAATTCTTTGCACTCAAAGTCACCAATCTTCCATAAGCCAAAAAAGAAGAAAAGATAAGACATAAATGAACTTCAGCCTGTACTGGTGTACCTTGAAAAGATTAAAGGGTGTTAGATTCAGAATACGGAACCTATGAACTTTGTTATGGTCGACAAGGCCAAAATATACATCGCTTCCAATTTGTTCTGCCAGGTCCTTATCTCGAGAAACCTAAACATATCCATAAATTTCGCAATAATATTTTGATGTACACCAAATGCCTGTACTAGCTCATCCAAACAAGCAATGGTGAAAACCGGATACTGGAAAGCTTTACCTTAATAGTAGTGTAGAGGTGTGCTTGTGCATTACATCTTTCGACCTCTTTCTTTTCTTGTCCCTTCTTCGACCTTATCTGAAATGAATCAACGAAAGTTGGTTCAGCCTCTTAGTTGGAAAATGAAATGCTGAAATTATGCTCGATGTACCATTACCCTTAGATGTTCGGCTATGTCTTTCTCGTCCATGTTACACATTATTTTCTCCTTATCACTGTCCCGTATATACACAAGCATGTATGCATTTGAGTATTTTGTAAGGCTGAAAGAAGTACGATTAAAGCGAGAATTGGTCTGTGGCAACTGTTGGGATTAAAAGACAACAATAAGTCAGTTTACAATTAAGTAACTTTAAAATTAAGGATGACCGGAGCAGTTGGGAAACAGCCACAACAATAAACTACCTCTTTCTCACCACCATACTGCTCTTCTAAAGCCCTTTTCACATCCTCTTTCGTCACACGTTCATTGTCAAACTTGTACCTAAAACATGAGAGGACAAATTGCATCAACGGACAAGTTATCAACATAGATGAAATGCATGCACAATAACACTCATAATCGTGCATAAAAATCCAAATAAATAAATACTAACACCAAAGTAATAAATAAAAAATGCATATAACTAATTAAACATGTACTTTCTTTACAGTTGTAAATTAGGCAGTCAGGTAAACCGAATTGTGGTGCCAAAATCTATGCGAAAAGCAATGTGAGAAATATAAATCACAAGATTCACAACAAAACCGACTCATTTGAACCAGAACGACAAACAAAAAAGTAAGAAGCAAAGTAAAAGAGCACAGAGCTTTGATTCCGGAAGATCCATACCACTGGTCACAGAGGGTTGGCCTTATGAAAGCACAGTAACGTCCATCATGTGCCCCACCAATATGAACCAAGACACTGCAACAGTAATTAAGTATCATAGTAAGTAGCATTTCGGTACGAATTTTTTAAAACTATCGTTAAAGTTAGCGCGCTTTTTTAATCATCCAACCCAATCAACTACTATTATTATGGTTACCTATGAAGAGTGTAGAGGTTGCGGACACTCCTATCTGATTCAGGTGATAGATACATTCCATTCTCCCTATCAAGGTCAAGTTGAAGAGGAAATTCATAGCGATCATTTACCTGCCAAAAACAAATAATACAATATTCTTACCATGATAGTCTATTTGCTTTCCATCTATGAAATATCAATATCACACCAGAACAAACAATTGCAGCCCAAGAAATAAAAACGAATTTAATTAGTTTATATAATTTCAAATAAAGATAATGAACTAGATAAAGAAAGTTCAATTTAACTAGTATGACGAAAAAAAGTTCATGCTGCAGACATTTTGAAAAAGAAAAAAACCCATTCAAATAGGGTTATATCCATCTTTCAGAATGAAATAGTGAAACAAAAATTAAACTAAGAGTTGGATGAAACCATAAAGTGAGCTCAAGTCCTTCACTTGGATCAATAAATAATTTGAAGAAACATATCTTTGCGACTAAGATGCATGCTACATCTTCAACAAAGAATCACAGTTTCAATGCTTCATGTAATAAAGCATAGATGACGCTGAAGCATGTAGATTAGTTCCGTTACAGACCTTAACCACAGTGTCCCGCACAAAATCATACTCAAATCGCTTTAGCTGAAGTTGAAGAACAGGAGGGAAGTCAATAAACAGGACACCCTTCTTAGCAACCTGGAATAAGCAGACAACATAATCCTTGAGAATAATATTTAACAAATTCACTATCAAGGAAAATGTGTAAGAATAGTGGCTTCAGCAAGCGGTTTAATGGAAGGAAAAACTACGGACATCATTCAATCAGAAAGTAAAACATAACATGCACGACCCCACAAATGTTTTAAGAATCATACATTAAAAATCTCACTGGCTTAGGAAATAATGTAAAACCACTATTTCCATAAGGTGGTTTGTGGAAGGAGGCAACTAAGAGCAAACTCAGATTAGAGTTACTGTATAAATGCAGTCAACAATAGAAATTCAGTAATATAACCTGCAAACCGTATTGTTCGGCACAGTATTTATTGTCACCCTCAAGATGTTCAACTGTCACATACTTATCGAAAGAATCATAAACACCCCGACAGCCTTTTACATCAAGCTGGAGGTCTGCAAAGCAATAAGAAGAAACCAGTAGCATGCACTGACATTCATGAAACACTTCCAACTCATAATAAATGAAGTTTGTGCCAAGAAACATTACCATAAAATGACTCTTTTCCTTCAGATTTGTAGTGGACATTGATGCAGTCAGTGTAGTTCATGTAATGTCCTTCAAATAACTGCTGTATTGTACCCTCCACAACAGTTCCCTGAACCAACATAACAATTATAAAAATTGTAGATGAAATGAAAATTAAACTCATGGTCAAAATGAAACATTCCCATACCTTCATTTTATCTTCAAGCTTTTGACTAAGAAATTTATTAAATTCATGTACGTCATGTTTCATAAACAAATAATGTGTATCCCACCCAAAAGACTTGGTCAATTCTTTAGTTGCAACAATGCTGTCACTGTATTGAAGCTTATAGAATAAACGTTGTAGTGCCAAAGGGATGCTTCCTGAAGGCATGTCATTCTCAGTTGTTGGCATATGATGCACAGCCTGGTAAGTAACTCCAAAATTAAGATCTTTTCATAAAAAATTCACAAGACAATTCATGTTTGGCTTACAATGACAACAGGAGATCACGTAAACTACCTTTCTAAAGTATGGTATATGGTAAAACGTCTGGAGTAGAGAATTCATATAACCACTTTGCCGCTGATTCTCAAGCCCAACATAACCAGTTTCCTTTTTCGAGTCATATGACTGATAATTAAGAACCTCACAGGCAGTAACTTTCGCTTCAACCACAACTGTATCATTCACCAGATATCCCCTACTCGGGTCATAAAGATCACCAAGAGGCATGAATGAAGTGAATCCCCAGTCACTTTCTCTTGCATTGAACTGGTGTCGTGTGTCTGCGACATCATACAACAATCAAAATGATTAAAGATTGTTAGTTTTTGGTTAAACGGATTAATTCAAATTATTGTTCTGCAGCATGAGCCACACCAACAAAATAGAATCCATTGCCAGCCCCACTACATTTGGTTCTGGCCTAGAAGTCCTAGAATATTTGTACTTCCCAACTCTAATTTTAACACCGTCACAAGTCCCACTTCAAGCTCATCACTTAATAAATTGAAACCCTTGATTTAGTATATTCAGCCTTTTCATTACCCAGAATTCAATCTGCCCATTATTTTTTATTGCACAGAGTTTCCAAGTTCTTCCATTTTACTGTTAATTTATTTGACATCTAGATGCCTATAGAAGAACAAATCTATTGTATTTGAATTAATTTCTATCATCTGTTAGTATGTTTTACTCCACAATTTTTCTCAATCTTTTTTGTCAAACTAAAAATATTCCAAAACAATGTCACAATGGGCAGATGGGAATGCCATGGGGCGCGTTGCTACCATTGGTCAAGATGTTAGAGAGGAGGGGATGGAAGAAATTTTACTTTATTGTTTTGATTTTTCAAGGAGTAAAATTGGATAATAAAGGAGATTAGGGTGATTACTTAGATATTGATTGCGTTCAAATGGCATCGCCCAAGAACTATGAAGTTGAAAGCTAGTACGTTCACCCTGAAATAATAAGTTCTAAATGAAACCCTTAGATTTAAATAACAACCGGACAACAACCAAGCAAAAGCTAGCATTGAAATTAGGAAAAGAACGAAAACGACAACCAAACAAAAGCACAACTTGAATTCGAAATGGAAATAAGACTAATACCCTTTTCTACTGAGTACTTGGTATCGATCTGATTAACTACAGCCAAGCTAAAGTGTGCAAATCTTCTCCACCCATATGGCAATGTCCCAGAATCTGCCGCGTCCAAATACATTGATAACGCATCCACTTGGTTTCCCTTGGGAAACATTATTATCCGCCTGATCAAACAAAACAAAACAATATAAAACCCAATCAGCGAGATACAATTATAAGCCAACTAAAGGCGTGCGTGCAAAATCAACTTTGACATGTGGTTGACAAGGAAAATACCATTTAAAGCCGCCAACAACGAAGATGTCAGAGTAGTGGTTCTTGTTGTCCAACATAGTAAAGCTCTCAATTGTCCAAGTGAATTTCTTCTTTTGAGGATCCTCAAATGCATTAGTCTGCTCCACTTGAGCTACTCCCACCACACCAAATACCGTAAATTTCAAAACAACATTATCAATACCCGGAAGAAAATTAAATGACTTGCACTCTAATCATGCACACAACATAACAAACACAAAAATTAATTCTTTAAGCTCAATTATGCAACATGCAAAGCTTCAAAACCACACTGTAAATACAAACTTATGAAATTCAAACAACGGATCATCGAAAAGCACAAAAAATACAAAACCTTCCATGCCCCGAGAGCTTCCTGCCAAATCCGAAGGCGGCACATGCATCTCCTCGTCCCTTTTGCTGCTGGAAAGATAAACAGAATTAGAGCTCTGATCTACAAAACCGTAACCCTATCCTACTGAATCATATCCCTAGCAAATCAAAAACTGTAAGCAAGTGACTTTTCACAATTAAATCCAGCTCGCAGGAAAACTGGGCGATCAGAAACGAGAAACGTAGCCGAAACTATGTGAAAAAATATACCAAACCGAAAAATGTAAAGAGTCGGTACGTACATCTGACGATGCAGGCGTAAAGATCGTGGTTTCTGTCACGCGATGAGCCGTCCGTTCAAGGAAGCTGAGAGACGAGTGAAAACAGTGCAGGTGAGCAAGAGAGAGAGAGTGGAGGCGGAGAGGGGAGAGAGGGAGGAGGAAGGAGAGAAGCGGGGCTTCCTTTTTTGAATGAAGAGCTTAAGTACCTCTTGCATATTTATAGTTGAAATATTAATTTTTTTTTTTTACATTTATTTCCCTCGTCCTCATCGATATTAACGACATACGTGTTGTGCAAGAGCATTTTCGATTACAGAGCCTCTCGGACAATAAAAGTAAATATTAACGTCTGCAATTTTTTTTTTTTTTTCTTCTAGAAAATAAAAACATCTACATCTCTCTATCCCAATACTTGGGATAGACATTGTATATTTTTATTCATATTTCTTTTAAGTAATTAAATAGATATTTGTGATCTTTGTTCAACATCTTATTGTGAATGTTTCGCTAATTAAAAATATGTGCATGAGGAATTGAAAGAACGCCAATAATGTTTTAAAGACTATTTTTTAAAATATTGTGTGAATACCATGAAATCCGTCAACTTCACTAAAAATAGTGTTGAAGCACGCTATTATCAAATGGACTCCTTAAGAGTGAACAACAAAAAATATACTACATTAGACATATGCGCGATATACTCTTTTTTCTCTTGACTAAAGTTTTATTATATTAAATTAATTTCTAACAAATTTTTAATGAAGTAACATTAAACACGTTCAACGTGATATTAATAATCTCAACAAGAGTTATACTCTTTTCTTAGCTCAGATTTTTTTCCTAAACTTGTTATGAGACAACTAATTATTTATTCCCCAGGGAGTGTTGTAGAGATATCTCTCCTATATCTCCCTAGTTTACGACGTTCCTACATTTTTCTCACAATATAGTCCCTCACATTGTAGAAAAACTTCGACATGATGTGTAACATTTTTTTCCAATAGTTAGGTGGGCTTCTGTGGGAGACAAAGAGTAGGCAAGTCTCAAATTTGGGTGAGGATCGCAAAGATGTTTGATTTTCACCATGAGACTGCCCTCTTATAAATTCATGTAGTTTGATGATGTTTTAATGAGCTTCCATATAGGCCCTACGTGAAATTGTTCGAAGTCTCAAGGGAAAGACTAAATTTGTTAAAGCTTAAAATACATTCTGAAATTCATTTATCTTAATTGAATACACTGGATTTTTATAGAATCTTGTTCAATAATACAACTGGATTTCTTTGGATTTTGGTAAGCTTTTTTAAAATTTTAATTGAAATCCTCATACCTTTTAAGATCCGTTTAAAATCCTCATTAAATACTATGATACCTCATATCTTTTAAGTTGTAATTGAGAGGTCTTAGGTTTGATTCTTGTTAAAGGCGAATTTGAACTACAATATTGCTAACCCATTGTGAGGCTCAGCTCATCCCCCCCCCCTTCTCTCTTCCTTTTTCTAATCCCTGAACAAAACGGGTTTAAAGTTATAGGCAATTAGTGCTTCTTGGAGTTAGAGGTATCAAACGGGCACGATCATTTAAGTAAGGCATAGCATAGTCCAAGTCCATTTAAATAAAGCATGACACAACATGAATCGTAAGAAGTGGGTGAGTCGAGCCTAAGATTTAGGCTTAATATACCATGCCATGGCCCATTGAGCTCGTCATGGGTAGAGTACGGCCCACCGCCTAGCCCATTATGAATAATCTCATTTGTTCCTTAATTTTTAATTATAAACATACATTTTAAGATTAGTAAGACTTAACATTAGTGATATTTAGCTTAATAACATGTGAATAATTTTTTTAAAATGTTGAAATAACTAAAGTTGCGAGCTGGGCTAGGCTTAATATTTTATTAAATAACTTGGTTAAGCACGATTCGTTTATTCATTGGGCTAGTGGGTCGGGATGGAACGACCTGTTCGATAAATATTGACTTCGCAAAAATGAATTAAAACTAAGGACGTTTAGTCATCTAACTGTATAAAAATAGATTAACGAAATTTGGTACATTAGATTGATTAAACGACCTTACTTTTATTTCATTTTTTTTTGCAAATATGATCTTTTACATAATGGTTTATGATATAAACGGTTATGATCATAAGCACAAAAGACTGTTATTCGAAAATGAAGAGTTTTGAGTAGGAGTTCTTACTCTTTCATGAGTAGCCAAACATTGTTCTTTTTTCACCTCTTACACACTACTCTTGTTTTTCCATTAAATTGAATAATCAAGGGAAAATCTATCACGCCCCGATGCCGACATACGTCCAGGATCGACGCGTAACATCACCAAATACCTGTACTTCTATCATACCCCGCCTTTGGGATATTGACCATACACACTCCCATGATCCAATTGCGTAATAATTTTTCGTATACATTATGGCTGCATTTAACCTCCTCGTTAGACTGCCTACGTACCCTAAACAGGGATCAAACCATTCGTAATTCATCATTCACTACACTTGAATATTCATCACATAAATCACTATGTCTCAACATAATACAAAACAACAAGCATGCAACATCTCGAGGAACATTCGACAAAGCGCAACATAAATCTCTAGCCATATTGGTCAACGAGTTTAATCATAATGACAACAATCACAACCAACATCATTTCATAATCATATCAATCAATAACATATACCATACACCGAAATGTAGGGCTAGAGCAACACAGTTCAGCCGAAACCTACATCTCTGAAGCTAAAATCAAATCCAAGCAACCAACAAGTCAAATGATGCAATTTCGGACCACATAACGAAATCCATCAACATCGGGTTCCAGACCACTCAACGGAACCAAGACACCAAAGGGGATTCCAAACCACTCAACAAAATCGTGGAGTAGAAGGGATTTCGAACCTCTTATCGAAATTCGAGTGGATATGATTCCGAACTACTCAATGAAATCGCAGAGTACAATGCATATCGAACCACTCAATGAAATCTAAGCTGGATACGATTCCGAACCACTCAATGAAATTATTTCGAAAAATAATTTCGGTGGTAGGCCAAAAATGTCCTAATTAACCTTTATGTTAGTAACCATACTAACCTTTCTTTCTTAGAAAACCTATGAAAATGGCTTGAAAACTTTGAGTTTTAACGATAAGAACAAAATAAAGGGTAAAATGAATAGTATCATATTTGACTTTTTAATGTAAAAACGTGGTTTTTCGTTAAAATGAATGGTACCGGGAGCTTTTCGTTAAAGTTCCCTTCTTTCTTTGATGATTTTCCACTAAAATTTTATCTCGTTTATTTTATGGTTGCATCTAACTTCTCGTTAGACTGCCTACGTACCATTCGGATGGATCAAGCCAATCATAGTTCAAAATCCATTCTAAATCATTCAAGTGACTATCAATCACGAAACTAGGACCAACCAAATAAATCACACCAAATACATATCATACCAATCAGACAAATCAACCCACATTTAATAAACATTTTTCATTTTTAGGGATCATCTTGATGGTATGAGTTAATTATAGGGACCACTTGTGATATAAACCCTTTTTTTTTTTTGGCGTTCTAATGAACCAATCCTTTCCCTATTTAATCTTAATCACAAGGACATTTTTGGTATGAAAAGTCTATAATAAGTCAAGTTTTTTTCTTTATTTACTTTTATGTCATTATTTCATTATTGTAGCAGAGTCCATAATGATGTTGACATTTTTTACATGAAAAGTTTATAATGGGTGAAGTTCTTTTCTTTATTTACTCTTATGTTATTATTTCATTATTGTAGCAGGGTCCACAATGATGTTGACATTTTTGTCTCGTTAAAATACATTATTTTATATAATGTTATTCAACTTAAGCTACTTTCCATCTTTTGCTAATCTGCTACCAGCTCTTCCACTCTTCATGCTTTCATCACGTTGTCAATATTATGTAGCTCATCTTTTGTCAAATTATTACAGTATTGTTCATCTCATTATACTAGCTTTGCCTCTCTTTTCCTATCTTGTTTCACTTTGTAATAAATATTTTCCATCTGTCCTTTGAAATTTTGAGGCTTCCTATATGACTAATGATGGGCTTTTGACTTGCTGTAAATATATATTTTTTCTTCTTCTGTTACTAATATCATATCATACATAAAATCTTCAAACTCATCTAAGGCTAACATTTGGATCTTTCGAAATCTCAGAATATTTTTGTATGAAGGAGTCCACTTGTGTAGAGAGATAGATGACAGTCTAAATGACTCGTTATTAATCATGGCTATATTCCTAGCTTTCTCCTTATGCATATGTACATACCAATCTAGAGGACTACTAATAAAACTTATGAAAATTTCTTTCCACTATTCTAGATAATCTTCTGCTACTTTTGTAAGCTTTTCAGGAAATGATTCTAGTTGGAAAATATGGTTAAAATGAATAGTACCAGGAGCTTTTCGTTAAAGTTCCCTTCTTTCTTTGACGATTTTTCCACTAAAATTTTATCTCGTTTATTTTATGGCTGCATTTAACTTCTCATTAGACTGCCTACGTACCCTTCGGAGGGATCAAGCCAATCGTAGTTCACAATCCATTCTAAATCATTCAAGTGACTATCAATCACGAAACTAGGACCAACCAAATAAATCACACCAAATACATATCATACCAATCAGACAAATCAACCCACATTTAATAAACATTTTTCATTTTTAGGGATCATCTTGATGGTATGAGTTAATTATAGGGACCACTTGTGATATAAACCCTTTTTTTTTTTGGCGTTCTAATAAACCAATCCTTTCCCTATTTAATCTTAATCACAAGGACATTTTTGGTATGAAAAGTCTATAATAGGTCAAGCTTTTTTCTTTATGTACTTTTATGTCATTATTTCGTTATTGTAGCAGAGTCCATAATGATATTGACATTTTTTACATGAAAAGATTATAATGGGTTAAGTTCTTTTCTTTATTTACTCTTATGTTATTATTTCATTATTGTAGTAGGGTCCACAATGATGTTGACATTTTTGTCTCGTTAAAATACATTATTTTATATAATGCTATTCAACTTATGCTACTTTCCATCTTTTGCTAATCTGCTACCAGCTCTTCCGCTCTTCATGCTTTCATCATGTTGTCAATATTATGTAGCTCATCTTTTGTCAAATTATTACAGTATTGTTCATCTCATTATACTAGCTCTGCCTCTCTTTTCCTATCTTGTTTCACTTTGTAATAAATATTTTCCATCTGTCCTTTGAAATTTTGAGGCTTCCTGTATGACTAATGATGGGCTTTTGACTTGCTGTAAATATATATTTCTTCTTCTTCTGTTACTAATATCATATCATACTTAAAATCTTCAAACTCATATAAGGCTAACATTTGGATCTTTTGAAATCTCAGAATATTTTTGTATGAAAGAGTCCACTTGTGTAGAGAGAAAGATGACAGTCTAAATGACTCATCATTAAGCATGGCTATATTCCTAGCTTTCTCCTTATGCATATGTACATACCAATCTAGAGGACTACTAATAAAACTTATGCAAATTTCTTTCCACTATTCTAGATAATCTTCTGCTACTTTTGTAAGCTTTTCAGGAAATGATTCTAGTTGGAAAATATGGTTAATGAATATTTTATCAAGATAGCCAAACTCTAATAGTAAGGCTAGGGTAACTTCTACTACATTATACTTTTTTTGATGCTCATAATTAAAATGTCATGGTCTAAAATCTCTTATGTTAATCGTGGCTACAAAAATGTTAACCTTTGGTTTACAAAAACAACTATTTGTATTATCACAAAGATATGGTGGATATATCTTTGTAATAATATTCATTCTTGGTTTTGGATAAAAAATGGACTGATACAAAGCACATTGTAATTGTAGTTGCAAGTTTATTATGGATTGTGATGCTCTGCTCACGATCTCATTTTGCATATCTGGTAGCATTATTTTTAATTTTGCTTTTGAAATTTCTTCTAATAGGATATCATCTATTATTAAGTCTAAAGATAAATTCCTAAGAAATCTTTCATATTTTTCTTGTTTTTCTTTGTCACTCAGATGTTGTTGCTGCTTATTATTTTGATGCTGCTCCATTTCAATATCTTCTTCTAAGAGCTCAATCTCGCCCATGAACCGCCGGAACCCTAGAATTGGGTGTGTTTTTATTCGACCTCCAAACTCGCTCCAATGCCTCCATCACTGCTTGGGCTTTGTTCCTGAGGTTTAGGGGAGCTTATTGGTGGTGGTAATTGGCTGAGTTAGCTTCAGAATTTGCGGATCGCCTCAGTACACCCACACGGACCACCATTCGTTTTTCACCAAAATTACCATCCAATTCCTTCCAATTTTGGGTAGAAATGGAAGAGGGAGGATCATGGGATATTTTCCAGGTGGTTTCTCGGCATGATTCGCCAGAATTTGGCCGGAGGACCCACGGTTCCATTATTTCCGACCGGGTCGAGTCGCACAAAATGGGTAAGGGATCCTTGATCCCGTGCTGCTCCCTCTCTCACTCGTCCCCTTCTTCCCCCTTCTTTGATTGGGCCTTTCCCTTCTCTCCTTTCCCCATTCGCCGAGCCCCCTCCATTCTTCCCTTCTTTTTTTTTCCTTTCTTCCTTGCTGCCATCTAGCAGCCCTCCTCCTTTTTTTTTTTTTTTTTTTTTTTTTTTGAAACCTCTAAAACCTCTGTCACATTTCCTTTTTTGTCCCAATTCACATATAGTCTTCGCCTACATTTTCGCAAAGTCGAGCTCTATCCAAATATATCAAGAATTTCAATAAAATATATACAAGGATAAAATACGTCATCGTATAATTACGTTAAACCAACTAGGGTATTTCCATCTCTTTTTCACTTATCGATAAATTTTACTACGTAAATTATAATAATTTCTGGTAACAAAATTTTTAAAATCTCCCAATTAAATTTTCGTAACCATAAACAGATTTATTTCGCAAATCAATGTAGTTATTCCATTAGAATTTTGTCAAAATTTATGTTAATGTGCTGATGTGGCATGTATGTGGATCCACAAATCTATTAAATATTGCTATATGAATAAATTATTAAGACCTATATACAAATTTAATTTAAAATCATTTAAAACTAAATTCAAAATAATTAAATAAAAAAATTAAAACCTGTTCAGAAGACATCTTCTTCTAACCCTACCGCAACCCACCCCTGACTTCTCAATCATTCCCCACACCGTCGATCGTTGACCCCTCCCCTCCTAACCCTGACCGCACCAACCCACCTCAACCCGCTTCCCTTCAACCCAACCGTCAACTCATCCCAACCTCCGACCGAGACCAAGCCAGGCACAACCATCAGTCTCCAATCGCAACCCGGGATCCCAATTTTGAGACACCAAGTCAATCTAAGAACGAAGAAGTTTCGAGACAAGCTTGGATGAAGTCTTCAGCTCGGTCACTGCAGATGATCTCCCTCTGGCTCTAGCCTGCCCATGCCCGTCTCTCCTTGGCACAAATTGATTCTCCCTCATCGTTAAACAAATGCAGTTTTTAATTTTTTGTTGAACAGCTTTTAATTTTTTTTATTTAATTATTTTGAAATTAGTTTTAAATGATTTTAAATTAGATTTTTGTATAAGTTTTAATGAGGAATTGTCTACTTTAACGAAAAAATACATTTTTACATTAAAAAATCAAATCTAATACTATTCATTTTACCTTTTATTTTATCCTTATCGGTAAAACTTAAAGTTTTCAAATCTTTTTTATTAATTTTTCTTTTTAATAATTCATCCATATAGCAATATTTAATAGACTCGTGGGTCTAAATACGTGCCACATTACCACATTCCCACATTCCCACACCCATTTTAACTTTTATCTGTTCGTGTTGACCGGAAAATCTTCAGCATGGGCAAGCTCTTTTACTGCAGCCACGTACTTCGGCATTTCGAAAGAAGAGCCTTGAACATGGAAGTGATCGTTGAATGAATCATCCCTAGTTCAGTCAAGAGTTTCAAGGCTGCTTTGAACTCCTCATATGCCCCATTCATGCTGAGAGTGTCTAGGCTGCTCCTTGCGTAGCGGCTCACAGTGTCTAATGCAGCCAAAGCCTCTACTGATGGTTCTCTGGCTAAAGTGGACTTCAATAGATCCTCTGCAGCAGAAAGTCTTCTCAGAGTTCGATCAACTGCTGGAGAAGCAGGGCCATCCAGGTCATCATTTTGCATTTCTCTGCTTGCTGTAACATGGCCGACATTAGACGCCATGGACTCTAAGGTTTCTTGGGCAGCCTGCATCAGAGTCCAGAGATCAGTACGAAGATTAAATTTTAAAAAAATGAATGTGGGCTCGGTCGGATTCTTACGTCTTCTTGTGGAGTTGGCTCTGCCTGGCAAATAGAGGTTGGAAAAAAAATATTTACCGCAGCAATTACTTGATTTGCTGCGTGAGCCCTCTTAGGAGCTTTATCAGAGTGCTCCAACCCAAGGTACTGCTCCCGTGCACCATAAACATCTCTTCTCTGAAGAAAACAAAATTTCAAATGTTGGAAGTTAAAAAAGAAATCCACCTAGGCAATACCCATAAACGTAGTTTAGATTGGCCTGCATACATAATATAAAAGTAATCCACCTAGGCAATACCCATAAATGTTGGAAGTTAAAATTTTTTACTTGCTGTAAAATGTACAAATAATAAGAATATAACTGATTCGAAAAATCAACAGTATTTGGGTGAAACCTCTAACAGTAGTCAAATAGTTTACTTCTACCGTCTGGTTCAATACAGTGACTTTCGTGAAGTGGTAAGCATGAATCAAGATATCATCGAGACCCAAGTTTTTCTCTTCTTCTGGAATCTGATACACAAGAAAGAAAATAAAAAAAGACAGCTGCATGAAGAACAGAGGTACAATATGAATCCAATTCAATCCTGTACATTAGAAGGGATGTTAATCCACAACTGGAAAACAAAAAAACAACAACCAAGCCTTCTACACTAAGCGGGGTCTGGGAAAGGGAAAACAAACAAAATTACATATCTTGCGCATAAAACTATTTAACTTTTTTTCAACAGAATAAAACTAGAAACTCTTCAAAATAAAACTAAATAAAGAAGAGGCAAAAGGACTTGCCTCCTCTCCACGAATAGTCCAGTACTGGTCATTAATATTCTCAAATTTCTCACTGTTTAGGAAGATCTGAAATAGAACACAAGGAATTATGAGTGCTACATCAGACAAAATTACATCAGTCCTATACAGTAGAAGGAATTCCAATGCAATAAGATCCTTGTGGAAAATATGCAAAAGCATGATGACACCAATCAGCATCACAAATGGGCCAGGCTACAATCACTTAAGACCAGAAAACAAATAGCTAACATGCCGATACATCAGGCATACCAGTACTAATTACCCTGTAGATCTTGTGATCGAAAACCTCAAGCAGTCGGAGTTCTGCTTTTGGATGAGACAGCTCTACCTGTTTCAGGTACACCACACTTTGAGAAACATCTGTTATAAGAAACTGTTTAAGAGGCGGTGATAACAATTTATACCAATTTTGTCAAGTTATGGTCACCACTGTAAGTTGAGTGTATCCATTATTGGCAACTATAAAAGACAGAAAGTACAAAAACCAGTAGAAGGGAGGGAAAAGACTAGTTTCAATTAAAGGTTACATATTTTTACAAGCTTTGCAGTGCTAAAGTAATGTATCATAGCATCATTAGCATTCCTGAACAAACAATGAAAAACTAAAAACACACAGAGGACTTCTCGTACGATTGGCAGAAACTTTTAGATGGGAAGTGATGGATAATACATGGAATGCATGCATAGAGAGAAACTTCACCTTCGTTTTAAGTACATTAACCACATCCCCAGCAGTGCTCTGTTTGGGCAAAATAATGTTGAGAATCAATGTCAGCCCAAAACCATAAGTAATCCACAACCCAATCTAAAGTCCAAGTCCATATCTAGTTTGATGATGTAATTGCTTACAATTGCAAAGTTAGGCAATGTTAGGTATGGTTGAGTGGAAAAAAATTAGGTGCAATTAATGGGTTTTGTGTGGTAGTAAATAATCTTAGTTTAATTAAGTGTGTG